TAGCGAAATAATGTTCCGATTTGAAAAATCTTTGGTAAATCGATAGATATTAACAGAAATAAGTTATACAAGGTCAAACGAAGGCATTCATAATAATATTATAGACGCCACAGTTTTCCGCGGTTTGTGGGCGTTAGAGTGGGCGTGGCCGAATGCAACTTCGTGGCAAGTTGCAGAGGCATCTCCTAAATATGTGTTTCTAAGCAAAATTCTGTAGCTCTTATAGTTTTCGAGATTTTTGCATTTTTGGTTTTTCGGGTTTTGTGGGCGTTAGAGTGGGCGTGGCTTGATCGGAAAAAAAACCTACATGCTTAATCCGAACTTTCTACCTCTTATAGTTACCGAGATATCAGCTTTTCTAGAAAATCCGTAAACCGTCTTTTGAGCCTTGTGGGCGAATGGGTGGGTGCGGCCGGATAGTAGTACTACTATAAGATGCGCTGTCATCTAAAGATTATACTTTCTGAATTTCAACTTTCTAACTGCAATAGTTCCTGAGATTTCAGCAATTTTAGTTTTCTGCGATTTGTGGGCGTTAGAGTGGGCGTGGCAGGATGCTGTAATAAAGTTAAGCTGTCCCGGGACCTCACGAATCTTTATGCTTAATCTCAACTTTGTATCTGCTTTAGTTCCTGAGATCTCAGCGTTCATACGGACGGACGGACGGACGGACGGACGGACAGACGGACGGACGGACGGACGGACAGACGGACATGGCTCAATCGACTTCGCTATTGATCCTGATCAAGAATATATATACTTTATACGGTCGCAAAAGCTTCCTTCTATCTGTTACATACTTTTCAACGAATCTAGTATACCCTTTTACTCTACGAGTAACTGGTATAATTAGAAGATTTGAGATTGTCCCTAAAGAACGCCCCAGAATATTTTAATGAGGTATGGAAGATATCCAAAGGGAACAAGTGGAAAAAACTTTCAAATTTAATCGAACAATATTACGAAGACTTAAATATTATAATACATATACTGCGGGAAGAACCCATACAACTTTAATAGGCTTGGGATGCGTAGAATCAAGTCGACTAGGATATTGACCCTCATTAAAAATGAATAGGGTCGTAAACGCCTTCTACCATTACATAGTTTTTAGCAAATAAAAGTAAACGACATTTAGAGTAAGTTGTATAATATCATATCAAAAAAATGCAGATTAAATATTACATAATTTACGAGAAAAAACACTGGAAAAGAAATAAATTCAATTCAGGTTATAAAAAGCAGCTAGTTAAGGAAAGTCAGTTCAACACGACAATAAATAATAATAAAAAAAGAATATCATTGAATCTCTATGAATTAATTATGTAATTGTCGTTTTCAACAACTGTAAAACTCAGGTCGTAAAAAAATTATCTAAAAAAGATTTAGAACGAGTAATCTTATTGCAACAAAATCTAAATCTAAATTATACTAGTCCGAATACCTAAAGAATCTAAAAGGGGAATGAATTAATTAGTTACCAGATGTTTGAAAACTGATAGCATAAACTACAGATCAAATATATACTATTTCAAACATAAAATTAACAAGCTTAAACATAAATACTGGGTAGTTTCATTAATAACATAATAATTCTAATTATTTGTACACTTCATAAAATATCGAACAAAACAACAATTCCAAGGACTTAACGACTTTAGTCTTTGACGGGCCCTTCGTTGGCCTAATGGAAGCTTGCTAACGGCGAAACAATTTTATACCCGTTACTCGTAGAGTAAAAGGTTATACTAAATTTGTTGAAAAGCGATTGAGCCATGTCCGTCTGTCCGTATGAACGTTGAGATATCAGGAACTATAAGAGATACAAAGTTGAGATTAACCATGAAGATTCTTGAGGTCCCTGCGCAGCGCAAGTTGATCACAGCATCCTGCCACGACTCTAACGCCCACAAATCGCGAAAAACTAAAATCGCTGAAATCTCAGATACTATTAGAGTAAGAAAGTTCAAAATTAGTATGTTTAATCCTTAAATGCTAGTGGTACTATTATTCGGCCACTCCCGCCCATACGCCCACCAAGCTCAAAAGAGCATTTTTTATATAGAAAATTTGGATTAAGCATGTAGGTTTTAATGATGCTCCCAATGCAAATTGTTTTTTTCCGATCAAGCCACGCCCACTCTAACCCCCACAAACCGCGGATAACTGTGGCGTCTATAATATTGTTATGAATGGCTTCGTTTGACCTTGTATAACTTATTTCTGTTAATATCTATCGATTTACCAAAGATTTTTAAATCGGAACATTATTTCGCTATTTATGAAGAAATTTAGGGTATAAGGCGTCAAATGGTTTGTGACGTCACTATCAGTTACTCAACATACATTCTCTGATAATAGGTGGCGCCTTGTGAATTTCCACTAGCAAAATAAATATTTTAAAATTGTGTAATACAGTAACGGGTATCTTATAGTCGCGGCATTCAACTTTTTTGTTTGTTTTATTATTGAATCCCATTCAGCTATTAATGCGGTTTTTAAGGATTCCTTTCGAGGATATGTTGTCCTTTTCTGAAGCACATCCCATATATATTATATTTTATCATATCATATCATATTGACGTACGGCGCCGGATTCCGTCCAAGTTTAGCGTAAATGGCTTTATACATAAATTTATTTCCCATAAAACCATTCGACCCACTCCACCTGCAGCTACACACCGCTAAACCATCACATTCTTGCCACGGTGCTTAACAGTTGGTATTAAGTTTTCCTTAATGGCTTTATTTGACTTTCGAAACACTTTAGAAGACCGACTTGTCCGAAATTATTAATTTTTTATTCGTCACTAAATGTAACACGCTCTTTTGCGATCTCCAATTTTTTTTATATCCAGAAATCAATGGTTTTTACAAGTAACTCTACCTACCATATATGTACTTATACCAGCATTGTGCAGTGTTCTAAATGGTTTGGGAACAAACTCGTTTTTCTGAAAGCCTCTTTAGGGTTTTAAGAATTATTGCAGATGTTGCTCTGGGATTTTGTTATGCGGTATTTACAACTTTACGCTTCTCGAGTGGTGTCAATAATTCTACCAATTTCGGGATAACTGCGATTCTCTAAATATAATTTTATTAAAGTTTTTTGAAAATCTAGGGATAAACCTTGTCCCCGACCCATTTCGCCCAATTGCTTCAATAGCGCAGCGAAACTTACTTACTCTCCGATGTACAGTTCAAGAAAGAATCGCTAATTACCGTTGAATTCAGAAAAAGAAGTCAAGAATAAAAAGTGTACGAATAATTTTTGTGCGTGAAAATTACTTTATTGTGTTATTAAAGAAATTATCTAGTATTTAAGTTAAAATTTGTTTATTTATGTTTAAAACATATGTTCTCGAATTGCGTATCTTTCATTTGAGATATTACATTTTGATTTCCGTTAGATATTTCTCGAGATATTAAAGAATAAACTTGCCAATCATAAATAAATTATGTGGCTACTGTATGTATTTTAAAATAATTCAGAACTCACACTCGATGGCATTGATGTACTTAACTCATTTATTCAAATTTAAAATACGAAATTATTCTTATTCTTATTTTAATATTATTATACATTTTTTTTAATTTGAAATGGTTCATCCCAAGATCAGGTCCTTATACAGTGACGAAGTAAATTATTGGCACAGAAGGCTTCATGAACTTTTAGGCACGATTTCTCCCACTAAAATTTATACATATAATATTATACAAAAATAACACGAGAAAATGTATTTCAACATTTTACCTTCAATGGTTGATTTCTAAAAGTAAAATAACATAAATAAAAGGTGAATTATTGGCACACTTATTGTAAAACTTGTAAAACTTGTATTGTAAAATAAATTAAAATAACTAAAATTAATACTTTGTGGCTAATCGTTTTTGTTTTATAACGGCTTCCAACCGTCGGCATCGATGAAACCAAATTTTGGGTAGTTTCTGCCCCAATATTCTGTCACTCTTTTATTAGAACCACCTTCAGCTCGGCTTTTGTTTTTATTCAGCGTTTTTTAACGCGCCTTTCCACCTCCTTCCACAAATGCTCAATGGGATTGAGGAGGATGCGGCAGAGTATCTTGGATGTTATGTGCGATCCACATACGCACATCATAAGCCGTATGCTAATTTGAACTAGCCACCATCATTTTTATTTTAGCATGATAATGGACCAAAGCATTTATTTTTATGGTTTGCAATAAGTGTGCCGATAATTTTGTTCATGGAAATTCACCTCTTATTTATGTTATTTTAGTTTTAAAAATCAACCATTGAAGGTAAAATCGTGGAATACATTTTTACGTGTTATTTTTTTATAATATTATATGCATACATTTTTGTTTATTTAAATATCTAAATTTTATGGGGAGATATCGTGCCTAAAAGTTCATGAAGCCTTCTGTGCCATTAATTTAGTTTGTCACTGTATGTGTTTCAGATAAACAACTTTAAATTTTAGATTCAATCACTTTTGATTTAAATTTCAATTACTTGCGTTCTCACGCATTAACTTTCCATTTCCCTCCCACGACGAATTTGTCAAACTCCTTGCTCCCAATCTTCGAAGTGCGCTGCATTCTCATAAACCTAAACATCCGTTCCAAGCTTGAAGTCCGTTTGAACCTCAATGATTCTATAATCCATGTCTTCCGAAATTGTATCTGTCAGCGTAATTAAATTTTTTCTTTGCACTGCCTCATTGCATTATGAACTTTATTCAAGTATAACTAAAAGAATAATATAAGAAAGTTGCTGCTAGCCTAGGTTTAAAGAAAAGAATTTTCCAAAATATAAAGGGTGATTTCTGAATTATAACGAAAGAAATTACTACAAAAGGAACTTCACTTCACAATAAAAATATTATATATTTCTATTAAAATTATGCAGGATTTTCTATTTCAATGTAAGCATGTATAAATACATATATACAATATACCTTTTGCATGTTAATCTATATAATCAGTAACGTACCGAAAACCGTACCCAAAACTTACCCATTCTTATATTGAATTAAATAATATTTTAAATATTTGTTCACAAAAACAGTACAAGGCTTATACCACTTTGTTTATAATTACTTCAGAAGCATCTGTTTATGTTCACTGTTGAACTGGATCCGACGGGGCGTATGACATCAATGAACTGGATTTAATACTCTTTACCGACAGGCCATTAAAAATGCAAGCCACGAAAGCTAGTTCCGAACTTTTTAAGATTTTTTCTGTTAGTAAACGGTATTTATAATTAATTATTTTTCTATTTTATAATATGGAGAAGTAAATATGATTGTTATACTAATAACTGAAAAAATCTAAAAATGTCATAATTATAATCATCATTATTACAATAATTTTTTTAATATTATTATTATTATTATTATTATTATTATTATTATAATTATTATTATTATTATTATTATTATTATTATTATTATTATTATTATTATTATTATTATTATTATTAATTTTGTAACGTTGTGTCCCCTTGTATTCAGATTAATAGAGGGACATTGTAAGATGGGTTCCCAGGCAATGTAAAAACACAAACAGATACATTCCCAAATTCATATTAAATATACGATCAGATTAAAATGTTTGATGTAGTAAAATATACATAAGTATATAAAAGGCGTAAAGGGCGTCCCGCGTTAGATTCGTGAGTTGCGTGAGTTTCCGACCCGTCGGTAGGCAACAAGCCTCCGGCTAAACCACCCAGAGTTACCCTAGAAACGACGCATTGACTAGTAACCACACACTTGGATGCAACTATGTTGCAATACATAAACTACACCCAAGTCAGTCAACAACCTACTTGAGTGTAGCCCAACTACATAATGCTGACACTGCAACAGGACGCCACAGACCACTTGAGATCGTCGAACCACTAACTTTATGCTGATGGTGCAACAGGATGCCCCGACCCTCAGCCACAGAAAGACGACACGGTCAGCCACTTTAACAATTTCATACACAAACACTTTTATTTCCATTTGTATTTATGTAAAAGTATTTATGTACTTGTATATAAGATTGTACTCGGCAGCGGCGGCTTCTTGGCCACCGCTGAACAATATATGAATTGAGTTTAGAAAACCAACTCGAAGACTACGGTCGACTTTTAATCCTTCTAAAATAATAATATCTAGAAATACCAAATATCACTTTTTGACTATTGTACTCTGGCGGACACTAAAATTTACTAGGACTCTGGAGCGGATATCATAACTGGCGCAGCCGATCTACGAACCAGGATGGATCTTATTATCTTAGTAACACTGTAAGCACTTACACATACACTTACACAACTAAAGGTGAAGTATTCTTGTGAATAAAAATGATTAAAATAAAAAGTATTAAAGCTGTGAAAAATGAACAACAAAATACAAGAAATTTATAAAGCAAAGATATATAACGAATTCATTTTCGGAGAATACACTAAATCACTGGCCCTTTTTGGCAGAACGTTTACTTCAACTAAATTTTAAAGTCAAAATAAGAATAAAATATATTAATGTTAAAGAAAGGTTATATATATATATATATAAACAAAAAAAAAAAGAAAGAGAAAAAACAAAAAGTAAGAAGAATGAATAACAGTGAAATGATACACATATCAAAAAATAAAAATTTATCAGTGTTAATGAAATAGCTCTACAATCCCATCGCGAATTTTGTAAGAGTGTCAGCTGCAAAATTTATGGCAAATTTTGTAACCTGGTTTCATTTTCGAATGAATATTATATATTTTGCTCTCAAAAAGAAAAGAGAAAGAAAAGAAAATAAAGTACGAATTGAATAAAAACAATAGCAGTGTTCACTATTTTTCGAAACAATCCTTACAATCCCATGTCGTGTTTTGTAAAGGGTGTTCAGTAAAGGAAGTTCATGCGAATTTCATACTGGTTTTAGTTGCCACTTGAGTGTTTGTTCAAGATACAAAATTGGTTAAACGAGAGTTTCCTAATAAAATTATAAACCCTATAACTACACACCAATTGAGAATATATTCAAATCAAAACAAGTAGACAAATATTAATTTTCTTCATTCACAAGGTAAATTCACAAGAGTACAACACAAATAATTATTCTAAGATTTTTATATTCATAACAATAAGATAGAGAAACTTGTTTCTCCATGCGTAAAAATAAAATAATTTAATGCCGAATATTTCGAAAGTTAAAAGTATATTACCATCCAGCAGAATTACTACTAGAAGTGGTAGTAAAAAACAAGCAGATAACGAACAAATCACTAAAACAAACTCTCTGTCCCTAAGACCAATAACTACTCCCTCGCTAACAACCATGAATTCTAGTTCGAGCTCTTCACCTACTCACCCTAACAACGCGGTTGTCAATCCGGCAGAATTATTATCTTCAATGAGGATTCCGGATTCATTTCGTTTCTTACCTCCGTATTCAGGGGACCCATTCACTCTGAATGAGGCACAGACCAGACACCACATGGTCAAATGTTACTCAGAGACAATCAATCAGACAGAAAATAGAAGGAAAAGCAAATGAAGCAGTTATTTCATCAGGAGCCGGACTTAATTGGGATGACATTAGAGACGCCTTAATCAGACACTGTAAGGATAGAAGAGACGAAGAAACACTAATGATGGAATTATACAATTTAAGGCAGAAACAGTTGTCTTTACAGAGATCATACGAACAAATCACCAAAATTAGATTGGCACTTTTTAGAATAATCGAAACCGAAGAAACTGAACCAATAGCAATTAGAGTCAGACAAAATGTTGTACCTCAAACTTGCTTCACAACATTCCTTTGCAATCACATTCAGTTAGAAAAGGATTTCTTTATAACAGCAGGAATTTACACGGCTTGTAATAATCTTAGCCGGATCGAAATTAATAATTTCTCCACTAAGCCCAAAAAGTTTTTCTTGGATTCGAGGTTAAAGGTAAACAGAAACGACGATTTCGTCATTACTGATGTTAGGCCTAGTAATATCGGATACAAGAACGAACACTGCAATTCAGGTTTTAATAAAATTCGAACAGAACATCTAAATGAAGAAGAGAAACAACAACTAACCCAACTTTTTAATAAATTTCCAAATTTAGTATTTCACGAAGGTGACCAACTTTCATTCACAAATCAAGTTAAACACAAAATTAACACCACTGATGAAAAACCCGTTTTCTGTAGACCATTTCGATTCAGTCAATTAGAATCAACCGAAATCAAAAATCAAATAGACAAACTGTTAGATCAAAATATCATTAAACATAGTCATTCACCTTGGAGTACTCCAGTCTTCCTTGTTAAAAAAAACCAGATGCTTCGCAAGTTAAGAAATGGAGAATGGTTGTAGATTTTAGAAAACTTAATGAAAAAACAGTGAAAGACAGATATCCCATGCCAAACATTAACGATGTCCTTGATAGAATTGGAAGAGCCAAATACTTTACAGCCCTAGATCTGGCTAGTGGGTACCATCAAAACGAAATAGAACCTAAGGACACTCCAAAGACAGCCTTCACGGTTTAAGGAGGAGATTACGAATTTATTCGTATGCCCTTCGACCTTACTAATGCTCCGGCAACATTCCAAAGATTGATGGATAACGTTTTGGCCGACCCCAACGGAGAATGCTGCCTAGTTTATTTAGATGACATCATAATTTTTTCACCCTCTCTACAAGAACATATAGCTGACTTAAACTCCGTTTTTCACAGATTAAGCCGAGCTAACCTAAAAATCCAACCGGACAAATCCGAATTTCTTCACAAAGAAATAGAATACTTAATTGTTGCTAAAGGCTTTCCCAATGCCTACTACCAAAAAGGAAATAAAATTTTTTCTACGACTTCTGGGATATTATAGAAAATTCATTCGAGATTTTGCAAAGTTAATTAAACCTATGACACAACAGCTAAAAGGAAAAGCTCCTGTATTAATAACCGAAGAGTTCAAAAACTCTTTCGAGAACTGTAAAACCTTACTTTGTAACGATCTTCTATTAAAATACCGTGATTTTATTGAACCACTGATGCCAGTAATGTGGCAATGGGAGCGATTTTGTCACAAGGAACATTAGGTTCTGACAGACCTGTATTATTCGCTAGTAGAACACTTAACGAGCGACAAGCAAATTACTATACTGTTGAGAAAGAAATGTTAGCCATTTTTTGGGCCACAAAATATTTTCGACCCTATTTGTTCGGTCAAAAATTTCAAATAGTCACTGACCACAGACCTTTAACTTGGCTGATGAATTTTGAAGAACCCAACTCTAAGCTGGTTAGATGGTAACTGCAACTTTTAGAATACGATTACGAAGTTATATACAAGAAGGGATCCCAAAACGTAGTCGCCGACGCTTTAAGTCGCATTACAGTACAGACCAACTGTAGCTGTACCTGAAACAGAAAATTTCAAAAAATAATTAACCCATGCGATACGTGCCTAACACTTAAATATGACAGAAAACCACCAAAACCTTATTTTACAAAAAACCGAAACTCCTGAAGTACCACTACAAATAGTACACATGGATATCTATACTATAAATGGTCAAACTATCCTTACATTAATATATAAATTCTCAAAATTTGCCAGCTCTTATACAATTCCAGCAAGGATCTGTATAAACGTGGTGAAGTCGTTAAGACATTACTTCTGTTTTGTGGGCATTCCAACAAAACTAATACTCGACCAGGGCGCTGAATTTTCAGGAAAATTATTTATCGATTTTTGCAAACAATACGATATGTTACCTCACGTCACTTCTTTTCAGCAATCAACGAGTAATTCACCCGTTGAAAGATTGCATTCATCTCTCACAGAAATTTATAGGATTATCCTTGAGAACAGGAAGGCTAAGAAGCTAGAATGTGATAATGAAGAAATACTGTTCGAAACCCAAACTACCTATAATAATGCCATTCACTCAGCAACCAAATTCACACCATTCGAATTATTCTCTGGTAGAAGACACATCTTCAATAGAGAGATCAAGTACAACACAGAACACGACTACCTGCAAAAACTTAACGAATTTCAATGTACATTATATCCAAGAGTCGAAGCACAGTTAGAAGATAAAATAAATCATAGAATTGAAAAATTAAATGAACACAGAACCCA